GGCATGCGCTCGCGTGTGGCCCACATGGCTGTACCTGCTCGATCTACAGCATACACTTGCTCGATCTACGCTTGTGCCCCGCACGGTATGATTTGCAAGGGGTGACCGGGGGGGTCCGTACTGGTTGGCTGCGGGTGGCATATTTGGTTCTGCGCGCGGTTGTTCGTGAATCCACATGGTTGATCGTGTCGGTAGATCGCCGATTCTTTTGTAAAAGCGAGACTCTGTGCGGTGCAAGCTATGTGGTAAAAACTACGTGGCGCAATCCACCTTGCAGAATTTGAAGCCGTTAGTTCCTTCGCTCGCATAAGCATCCCTCCTTCCCACCCGCATTTTGATTTGCACAACCAATGCGGTCAAGATTGAGGTGACTACTGGGCACCGGTTCGCGGATCTCTGCAGCTGCTCTAGCGCGCGCAAGCTCGCATGTAGAGCGGTCAGCTGGTTTGGCACTACCGACGCGGCCGCGACGGCGTTGATCCAGCACGCCCCAAAAGCTGCGCTAGCGCAGGCACTTCTGTGCGGACGCTGTATCGCGATGGCGCCAACAACGGCGTCAACGATGATGATAGTAGCAACGGTTGTGGAGCAATGATGGCGAAGGCGACACCAAGGCCAATGACGGCGCCGATGATGGCGACGACGATGACGATGATGTCCTTTGGCCGATGCCAAAATTGATTGGCTCGTGATGGCAGCTCTAGCGGCAATTGGCGATGACGATAAAGGGCGGTGACGCGGTGGCGCTGATGAGGGTGATGGTGACGAAGTGCGTGCGCGGAAATCCAAGAGGCGTTGCCGACTTTGTGTTGAGACGCCGCTGGTGTTTCCCATGTGTTTGGCAAGCTCGATCTTGAAATGATTCGAAAACCAATGGTGCTGGAAGGATTTCGACGCGCGCGCGTGGCGGCGCGCGCGTGGCTCGCATGATATTATTGGGTGCGGATGCGTGCGCTGGGCGCATGCTGGATCCACGCAGACGCACCGCGTGGTCAAATGAGAAAGCGAGATTCGCACGAGCGTGCTAACGTGTGCATTGCGCCCCTGTGACTTCAGCAGATGCGCGCGGGCAGGAAAATCTGCAATGTCTGTGATGCGTGCGATGGGATGCAGTGTCCATGTGGCGGCGACGGGCAGGCGGTGGGCGCAGACCTGGGGGGACCCAGCCAGCGCACGAGGCGGCGACCGGAGGCCACCGGGCGAAAGCCTGAAATCCGCTGGCTGCCGCGCCGGGCGGCGACAAAGCGGCGACGGGCGGGCACCGGGCGAAACCCAAGAACCACAGGCCAACGACAAGTGATGGAGCCCCCCCCGTCAACGTCGGCCCCTTTCAACGTCATCCCACCAGCCCTTTGGGAGGAGGAGGAGGTGGATTAACCTCAGGAGGTCTTCAGTTGTGCCCCCCCCCCAACACTGTTTCTCCCGGCGGGGAATGAACTCGCCCCCCCTCCTCCTCCTCTTCCTCCTCTTCATCCTCCATCTCCTCCTGCTCCTATTCGTCTCATTCCTGAGGAGGACGAGGAGGAGGGAAGGAGGAGGAGGAGGAGGAGGAGGAGGAAGAGGCGGAGGATGAGGAGGCGCAGGAGAATGACGAGAGGTAAAACGAGGACAAACACTTCTTCTATACATCTACATCTTCGTCGTCGGCTCCAGCGTCGCGGGCCACCGACTCGTTTCCCACTGCTGCTCGCCGTGCTGAGTAATGTTTGGCGCATCCTTCATCTGGTTAGTAATGCTCCCTGGGCTACACTGCCCGACAGCGGAAGTTGCAGCACGTTTGCGTGAGGATTGCCATACAAATCAACACATTCGTCGCCGAAATCGCTGCTCACAATCTTCTCCTCCATCTCGTCGTAGTTGCAGGGCGGCTGCACTACGTTCTGGCACGTACAATCTGCAGCTACACCTTCGTCGTCGGCGCCCGCGTCGCGGGCCACCGATTAGTTTCCCACCAGTGTTCGCCGTGCTGGGTAATGTTGGGGGGGTCTTTCTCCCGGCGAATAAGTTCTGTCTGGACCAGGTAATGAGCCTGCACGACAAAGGAATTCGAGCACGTCTGTAAGAGGATTGCAGTATAGATCGAGACAGTCTTCGCCGTCGTACTCGTCGTCCTGCTCGTAGTCGCAGTTGTAGTCGTAATAGGAGTCGTGGTCCCTTACTACTCGTTGTCTTCCTTCGTAGCCGTAGTCGTAGCCGTACTTGAATCGTGGTCGTAGTCGTGACAGTAGTCGCAGACGTCGTTTTTGTGCGGCGGGCGCCGCGGAGAAATACGTGTTCCCCGCTCTTGGTGAGACCCCAGTCCGTCAATAACGTAGCCGGAAAGATTAATAGCTTCCAGCTAAAAGGGGGGGTCCGAAGAACCTTAGAACGCTTCCTCTTCCGGCTTCCCCTTCTCCTTCTGGGATGGGGTCCCGCCTGGCGCGCGTGGCGCACCTCGACCCAGCGTCGCGAACCTGTCGGGGGTCCGTATTGGTTCCCAGTAGCTGCCCATCCGAAGACGACACCTGAATCTACTGAGACTCGGATGCTACTTATGTGTGGGGAGGTTGGGTGGGGGCGAGCCAAATAGTTTGCGTCTGGGAGAAGTGTCCCCATCACTAATCCTGATTCAAATGCACCCCTCACCCACCCGACCGGGGATAAACCCAGGACAATCAATGCCCACCCACCCCCCTATCTCTGGCAGAAAGCCATACAACTGCACATTTCACCAAAATCTGGATCATGCGCGGACGCCTACTTTGCATGGGTTTTGACAGGGACGGCAAGGCAGGACGGCATATTGCCTGCTGCGTGCATTGCGAACACCCCCCACCATCCCTTGCAAACACTAAAACAAAGTGCACTTCGCATTAAAATCTGGATCCTGGGCGAACGCCCAACGATCACTTTGCATTGGCTTGGACAGGGACGGCGGGGTGGGGGGCACCAGGTCACCTGCTGCGTGCAACGCCAAAGCCCCCCAAACCACCCCAGTAAAAAATATTGCAAAATGCACTTCGCATCAAAACCTGGATCATGAGCGAACGGCCAACGATCACTTGGCATGGCTTTTGACGCGGACGGCGGGGAGACAGGCATATGGCCTGCCGTGTGCGATGCCAAGACCCCCACCCCGTCACCCCTTGCAAAAAGCAATGCGAAGTGCACCTCTCCCCGTCGTTCGGACGTCCATTCCTTGTGTTGTGTTCGGTGTCATGCGTGTTTTTTTCGCAGGGTGATCCAGCATGCTCCTAAAAAGACCTTGCCGAGAAAGCGTGCACACGTCCGAGCGATACCAAGACTTTGCACCCAGATCTGGATGAGCGGCCGCCCCGCGATCACTTCGCATGGCGTTTTATTACAGGGGCGGCGGGGGGGGCGGCGAAGCCCACCCTGCCAGGGACGGCAGGGAGGGTGGCATACTGCCTGCTGTGTGCAGGCTGCGGCCCCTGGCAAATGAAAAGACGGAACAACAAGGCCGAAGACGGCCAAAGGGTGCCCTGCCCCTCGCGCATCCGTTAGGCTTGACCCCCAGGGGCGTCGCGCCGCGCAACCGAAGGATGCAGCCCGCCCCAAGGGTACCCTAAGGGGATGGCCAGCGAAAGTTGCCAGGGATGGACCGACGGGGCAAGGATGCAAAGGTAACCTAGGACAAGTTGCTCATCCTTACTCCGCGGGTTGAGTGTATGCAAAATGATTGCGGGTGCACACTCACACGCAACACACGATGCTCGCAAACCCACCGTCACGTTGAATTGGTGTTCGACAGGGATGGCGCGGCGGTCGACATATTGCCAGATATGGCGCACATGGTGCGCATGGCGCACCTGGCACGTGCGGCGCACCTCGCGGGCATCGCGCACCTGGCTGGCGTCTGCATTGGATTATGATGGTTGTCGATGCAGACCCCTGCCTCTGCTGCGGCTTGGGGTAGCTTGACCCCCCCCCCGAACCCCTCCTCCGAGGGGCGGGGAGGCGGCAGAGCGTCCAAGATGGCCCAAGATGGCTCGCAGATGGCTTCAGAGAGCTGATGATGACCTCCAGTGTGGCTCAAGATAGCCGAATATGGCTTCCATCATGCTCCTAGACGCCCAAGACCGCCCCAGGACGACTCCAAGTGGCCACTGAGCCGCTCGAAGAAACTTTCAAGAGGCCCACACCCTTGAACAACCTGAGGAACTTAATGGTGTTTGCTTTCTCTCCGTGTCGCTTTCGACGGCCATCCGAGGCTTCAAGATGGTTCCAAGAAGGCCCAAGAGAGCCCCAAGAGGAGCCCCAAGAGGGTCCCGAGACGGCCCCCAGAGCGCCTAAGATCTAAGAGCGCTATACCCCCACCCTTCTCCCATCAATCTCCTCCACGATGGCCCCAAGACTGCTCTCAATTCTCCCAAGAGTGCCCCAATAGTGCCCCAAGAGGCTCCCAGGCGGCTACATGAGGCCCCAAGGGGTCCCCAAAAGGCTCCCAAGAGGCCCCCAAGAGGCTTCCCCGAGGCATCAAAGACGCTCCAAGAAGCTCTCAAGAAACATTTGAAGAGACTCCGAGAGGCATACAGAAGGCCTCTGGCCTTTCTGGTCGTCTTCCTCCTCCTCCTCCTCCTCCTCCTCCTCCTCATCCGCCTATTTCTCCTCCTCCCTCCTCCCTCCCCCCTCCTCTCCATCCCCATCCCCCTCGTCCTCCTTTTCCTCCTCCTCCTCCTCCTCTCCCTCCTCCTCCGATGCTTCCTCCATCCTTCCTCTCTTGGGGTATGACGGCTTCCGTATACCTTTACTCCACTGTACGCTCCTCTACATCCCCGATCAGTGCAACTCGCCTGGGCATCGTTTCCGAATGAACTGGTGGGGTTACGCAAAGCGTCTAGACTAAACTGAAACGTACTCTGGGCTGGGGAGACTCGGGAGTTCTGTGCTATCCGACATTGAAGGGGGGCATCAAGCACGTCTCGCTCAGCGCCAACGAATCCCGAGGGCGGACGTGCATAGTTAAACTACGCGGCCAGAAACTTGATGGTGATACCGTTGAGGGTCGTAGACCGTAGGATGGACGCACGGGTTCGGGGGGGTCATCGGAGGCCGCCTTCTTCCGGCCCCCCTGAACATTGGCCCCATTTTCTAGCCGCCAATACGCCTCACCCATACGACTCATGATAACAGGGAGCAAGCCAGAGCAGCGCACGCATATGCCATGTGAAGCCGACAATATAGGCGCACGTGGCGATGTGAAAACACAAACACAATATGGCACAATGTATGCCAACTAATTCCAGCTGTGATATCAACGTCACACTTGCATCATCAGCGGCATCTGCGCTGACGGCATCTGATGACCTGAACCGTCGAGCGACATGTGCGCTGACGGTATCGGATGCTGCATCAGCTGGCAGCAAATAAATTGGCGCAGTGAATGCTAGATGCAGTCACTGTGATCGCTGCGCACATGAATGCAATGACCATGGCTGCATACATCCAGGCGTGCAACACGTCGTCCAGGATGTCGACAAGCCGGGCGGACAAACATGCTTTGCGTCTCCTTCTCTGACCCCGTGTCCTCCTTCTCCTCCCTCTCCACCCCTGCTTCTTCCTCCTCCTCGTGCCTGGCTTGTGGCCTCCGCGACCAGTACTGGAAGACGATCATGACTAAACGCCTCTGACTGGCCACGTCGGGGGTATTTAGAGGAACGCTCGAGGAACATTATATTCCACAAACGCAGAAGTGAAGGGGCCCTGGGACACACAAATAAATATACACAAATAACAATATTCCCCATCTGTTCCCTTATTTGCTGGGTTTTTGTCTTCCCCCCCACTTCCCATAGTTTCCCATACTTTCTGGGGAGTCGACGATTAATTGTGTCTGTGTGTTCTTTCCCTCCTGAAGACAATAGAGGAAGGGAGAACCGCCCAGTCCCGAAAGAGCCTCCGCCCAAGCCGGGTGCCAGAGCCCTCGGGCGGCATGGGCAGCGATGCTCACTGAGAGCACGTAAGTGATAAAAGGTTGCAGCTGGCATAAACATAGTGTCAAGAGCGCCAGCACTGGCGCTTACCAACTGACGTCCATGCCTGCTGCGTTGGGAATGACGATGTACGGATATCCCAAGTAGAATGCGCATGCCGGTGTCGCATCCGCTCCAGGAGCACTCGTTCAGACCGCACGTGGTCGCGCTGTCGCTGGCACAAAGCGTAGGCTATCGCGGCAGGCCAGAGGAGACTACCACACAACTTGACGCACTTCCCGTCCCGAGACGACCACTGCCCTCCAGACTAGGCGGCGTCGACCCGCTCCAGCGAGTGGCCGCGCCACGGACGAGACCGGGGCACCGCGAATGCAACCACGGTCGAGGGCGGGCTGCGCACCAGGCCGGCCAGGCCGAGTCCGATGCAGCGGGGCTGCTGATGCCCTGCCCGAAGCGGCCTAGATGCTCAACTCTGCTGGCGACTCCGCCGGCGACGCAGGCGGAGCTAGACCAGCTCTCGCGACGCCTCCAGACTCCGTCAGCGACGCACGGGGAGCTAAACCAGCTCCCGCGACGCCTCCAGCAGATGCGACGCCAGCCACCGCCGGCGGCCCGCCGCAGGACGGCCGGCGTCCGCCGACGGCCCTCGGCGAGGCCTCGCCGCAGGACGCCGAGGACCTCGGCGCGTAGTCGAAGTTGTAGAGGAGTGCGACCATGGCGAGCACTCCTGGGGGGTTACAGTCGGGGCGTTGACCTAAGGAACCCTAGATAAGGAACGAGGCTCCTTTTTTTCCATGAGTTCTACTTCTGTTCCCATGGAAAACCTAAGGAAACCTGTGGCAAGCGGTAAAACAATCGAGGAACACCGAGCCCCTCCCCAACGAAAAGGGTTCCTTCTTCAGCGCCCCGACTGTATGGGGGGACTGGCTCAGGGAGGGGGGGGGGGGGAAACATATCGACCTGGAGTCGGCGATACATCGGCGATGTGCCCCTGAGGGCGGATCCAAACGATCCTGGGCGGGGTGGGCTATCAGGCCCCTACCGGCGACGAATGGGCCATCGGCGGTCGATGCGTCCCCTCCTGAGCCCATCCAGGCCGCGAGGCGCGAAACGCGATCACCTTCGCGCCCCTGGGGACGACCTGGAGGTTCGAGAAACGAGGATCCAGGTTGTCCCCCCCGTTCTGAACGTTCTCTCCCTCTTGGAGAGAGGAGGAGGAGGAGGGAGGAGGAGGAGGAGGAGGAGGAGGAGGAGGAGGAGGGAGGAGGAGGAGGAGGAGGACGAGGAGGAGGGGAAGGAGGAGGAGGAGGAGGAGGATTAGCGCTGCCCCTGAGCACCGAGCAGGACCAAACACGCCCCCCAGGTCGGCAGGACCGGGAAGAACACGCTGATGCCGATCGCGCACAGGCCGGCGAAGACGGTGGCGGAGGTGAGCGGGCCCAGGAGGCTCCTGGCCACGGGGCGGGGGTGGTAACTGGAGGCGGCCAGGGGATCTGAACTGGATGCGCCCCGAAAGACTCGGTCAAGAAGGCGGAGTGAGGGCAAATCCCATCGACATCGGTGCCCAGACCCCTCCCAGAATCCATCTGGGCAAATCTGTTACCGTGGATCGATTTCTGATGGTACTGGGCCTGGAAAAAGACCCTGGAGACCGAATGCGGCAAATTACCCGAGACATACCCAAGCCTTTCTCCGTGCGAGGCGAATATCTGTATCAACGCCCCATACAAAGGAACACATCGCCAGATATGCACAATCAGGCCTGCCCTCATCTCCGCCGTGCCCCCCATGAGCCCACGATAGTAGCACAGTTGCGCAGTTCGTAGCCTCCCAAAGCGCTGCGAGGACTCGGCTGGATCCGCGTGGTCTCCGACTCCGCTGGACCTGCCAGGAGCCCACGAAAGTGGCGACAGTTGCGCAGTTCGCAGCTACCCAGCGAGCAGCGAGGTCTCAAATGGGTGCGCGTGGCCCCCGACCCCGCTAGATTTCCCAGGAGCCCAAGAAAAAAAGGGGACAGTTGCGCAGTTCGCAGCCTCCCAGGGGGGCGCTCCCAGGAGCCCACGAAAGTGGCGACAGTTGCGCAATTCGCAGCCCCCCAGGGAGCTGCGAGGTCTCGGCTGGGTGCGCGTACTCCCCTTCTCCGCCGTTCCTCCCAGGAGCCCACGAAAGTGGCGACAACTGCACAGATCGTAGCCACTCAAGGAGCTGCGAAGCCCAAAGTGGATGCGAGAAATTCGCAACTGCCCTCCTCCGCCTCCGCAATTCCAACTGGATGCGAGTCAAATTCCAAGTCCCCGCCTCATCCGCCTCCCAATCCTCCGCCTCCTCCTCCTCCTCCTCCTCCTCCTCCTCAGAATAATAATAATAATAATAATATTAATAATAATAATAATAATAATAATATCATCATCATCATCATCATCATCATCATCATCATCATCATCATCATCATCATCATCATCATCATCATCATCATCATCATCATCATCATCATCATCATATCATCATCATCATCATCCTCATCCGCATCATCATGATCACCATCATCAACATCATCACTATCGCCATTACCAGCACCGTTATCACCATCATCATCATCACCATCATCATTATCCTAAGCAGCATCATCATCAGCGGCATCATCAGCATCATGCTCGTCATCAGTATCAGCATCATCATCATCAGCATCATCAGCAGCATCATCATGATCATCATGACCTTCATTATCACCACCCCCATCATCACCACCATCATCACCATCATCACCATCGCCATCGTCGTCGTCATCAGCATCAGCATCAGCATCATCATCATCAGCATCAGCATCATCATCACCATCACCATCAAGAGCATCATCAATATAATCATAATCAGCATCATCATCGTCGTCGTCAACACCATCCTCATCATCACCACCGCCATCGTCACCATAATCATCATCGTCGTCATCGTGGTCGTCATCGTCGCCGCCATCATTAGCAGCATCATCGTCATCATCATAATTCTCATTTGCATCACCATCATGAGCATCATGAACGTCATCATCGTCATCATCATCCATGTCGCCATCGTCATCGTCGTCACGATCTGCATTATCGTCGTCTGTTGTCGTCGTCGTTGTTATCACAACCATCACCATCACCATCTCCACCACAAGTATCAATACCATCATCATCATTGTCATCCACATCATCATCATCATCATCATCAGCAGCAGCAGCAGCAGCATCAGCATCATCATTACCATCATCAGCAGCATCCTCCTCCTCATCATCATCAAGTTGAGCACTATCATCATCGTCGTCGGCATATCCATCGGGTTGAGCACTACCCTCAGGTCGTAAGCATCGTCAGCATATGCATCATAATGATCAGCAATAACATCATCGTCAACATCACCACCACCATCGTCGTCATCCTCATCATCCTCATCATCACAAACAACATCATTAGCACCAACGGCAGGAGCCGTCAACATCAACATCATCATCATCACCATCATCATCGCCATCATCAACAACGGCAACATCATCATCACCATCATCAGCAACGTTAACAGCCCACGAAAACGGCGAAAAGTTGCGCAGTTCGCAGGCCCCAAGGGAGCTGCAAGATCTAGTCTGGATCCGTTTACTCCCCTACTCCGCCGTGCCTCCCAGGAGCTCACACCATGCATCCAGTAGGACGCGTGGGCGCAATGAAGCAGACACGCCAAATGCACGCCATATCGGGCGACAGACGCGCCAAAAGCGTGGTTACGCGGCTGCGACGCGCCAAACGCGCGCTGGGAGGACGATGACAGGAGGAGGGAGATGACGATGATGATGACAATCAACATGCAGGACAAATATTGTGTCATCTCATACATCAATTATGTGGACAATAATCTTACACTTCTGAAGTCCACTGCTGTCTCGGCCGGCCAGCACGCCGATATTCCACCCAAGTGTTTGGTGCACCATCTTGTAAGCATACCATCTGACGCGCGAGCGACACAGGGCCGCTTGATACTGTATGGTATAATTTGTTGTCTGCCGAATAATACTTCAGAGAAAAGATCGACGCCGCCCCTGTCTAGAACGTATGAGCTTGTTTTCTTGACATGAAAGCAAACTGGATACCCAGAATGCGCCTCAAACGCCGGCAGTGGAAAGCATCGAGTCTGCGACGGTCAGCTTATAGTAGCCAAAGGGAACAGAAGAAATAAAAAATTCGCCCAGGACGCAACTGTCGTATACTTTGCATTTTCTGTTCCACCCCAATGCTGTATGGCACCATCTTCTTGCGAGCTGCTTGAAGATGCGTTGCGCTTCGCCGAGGCGCCGGGTGACCTCTGGCCCCGCTTTGCCATCGCAAGTAGGCGTTCCGCCCAGATGCACCGGTTCCCGGACCACCTTGATAGGGCCTCCACCAGGTCGCTCTGCCGCATCGCTCGTCGAGATGTATGCGCTTGGAGCATTTTGTCCCAATTGACTTCAAGACCAAATGTTTGCCCTTTCAACACAGTAGCGTTCAACATGCTTTGAATATTGACTTTGCTGTGTGAAGCCAACAACGTGTCGTCTGTGTACAAGATGTCTCGCGTTACTACGTAAGCCGGCTCAACCTCAAAATCAATTGTATGTTTGAGAGGTAACATCTGGATCCGTTTACTGCCCGACTCCGCCGTGCCTCCCAAGAGCTCCCGAAACTGGCGATGCAGCATCCCCCGGGAGCTGCGACCTCTAGTCCGGATCCGTATACTCCCCGGCTCCACAATGCCTCCCAGGTGCCCACGAAAATGGCGACAACTTGCGCAGTTCGAATTCCCCTAGGGAGATGCGAAGCCTAGTCTGGATCCGTCTACTCCCCGACTCCGACGTGCCTCCCAGGAGCCCACGAAAAGGGGTGACAGTTGCGGAGTTCGCAGCCCCAGGGAACAGCGCAGGAGGAGGCAGGAGAAGGGGGGAGGAGAGGAGGTGTGCGACCGCAGCGCTCTATTCAAAACGAGAACCCACCGCACGAGGATTGGGAAAAACCTTCTCGAACCCAGTACCTCGAACCTCGCCCCCTTCCCTGCTGGCTGGAACCAACGCTCGGCGCCACTTAAGACTTACAGCCGGCTCCAAGGCCGGATGACCTTCAGATCCAGGCAAGCAAGCAAGCAAGCAATCCAACCGAATCAACAATTCGGCCCAGAGTCGAGCGCGAAAGGGCTACATCTCAAACATTATTGTCGGCACGTCAAGGAAAAACGCGCGAGGGCGTCCTCGTATTCAGGGAAGTCATTGGCTGAACTTGCTTCATGCTGGTCGATTTTAGGAGTGGGCTACGACGGGCGCCACGTTTCGGGTCCTGGGACCCTCCTAGGACGATGTGGATCGAACAATGAAGGATCTTGGCCGGCCCCCGTTTGCTGGGGGTGAAAGGGCGTGTGAAACATTTGGCTGTCCTCCTGCCCTCCCCCTGTGGGTGTGGGGTGGTTCGTCGTCGTCGTCGTCCGTCGTCCTTCGTCCGTCGTCCGTCGTCCGTCGTCCGTCGTCGTCGTCATCGTCGTCGTCGTCTTCGTCGTCGTCCTCTCCGGGGTCCACAATGCAATTAGAGCGGGGGGGGCGGGAGGGGGCGGCGGCTAGGCGGCGGGGCGCACGAGCTCCCCAGCGCACCTCAGGCCTTCAAATTCCAACTCCAACCACCATGCCCAATATGCACTCGAAGATGGCTCACGAAAGAGTTCCGGCGCACCAGAGACGTTTCTAAAACATCCAACGTGGCCTCAGGACGACCAAGAGGGTCTGTCAAACGCTTCACCAACGAGGGCCCAAGTGGACCCAGAAGACAGCCTCCAGGGGCCAGAACCAATGATTCCAACACCCTGCGTATCCTACGTACGTTGGTCAATTTTTCTGTGCGCGATGCCTCTGGCTCCTCATTTCCTCATGTCCACCTCTTCCCGAAGGTCGTTCACACTCAGCGCCGCAAGGAGGAGACGCCAAAGGGTATTTCGTGCTTCCGTCAGCGCTCAGGTTGTGGGGATGTATCAGGTGGCTCTCTCGGTTTCAAAGGTACACCCGTCGCTTGTCAGTCAGTATCTGGAAGAATGCTGCTTCCAGCAAGAATGGGGCATGACGGTGATATAAATGTATCGGTATCATTGCCCATGGTAGGTATATCAGACATGTTTCCTGTAAGTCAACAAACCGTTGAGCTACGGACCAATGAGCGCAATAGAGCAAGATGGGGAGGAGGAGGAGGAGGCGGAGGAGGGGCGACGACGACGACCCTCACTCCATTCACGCGCGCGGAGGTGGGCCCGCGGTGCCTGCTCTAAAGGCGTCTTGTCCTGCAAGCGCGAAACAGCTGCGACTGGCGGCCGCAGGGCGGCTGGCGGCGGCAGCGAACGAGCAGGGAGAGAAGAGTAGCAACTTCCCCCGCGGCGGGGCGCGCAGGCTCCGCGCTTCGAGTCAGCCCCGG